TTTATATAAAATAATTAAAAATTTGATGTGATGGTTAGTTAAAATATTGTGAGTGGATGAATAGTGAATTAAGGTTGATGTGGTGTATGTGAATGATTGATTGATATTATTTAATTTATATTTATAATATTGGTGATAGTGGAGTTGAGTTAAAATTGAGTTAAAAAAGTGGTTGAGTTAAAATGTTGAAATTCTTTTTGAGATATCTTGTATACAAACATGCTCAAAGTCGGCTACCTCACACGAAATTCACATAGCACATCGATCGCAAGTATCAAAGTTCAAATTGTTCAACCACGATATAATTTTTTCAACAGACAAACACTTAGTTCCCATACAAACGGGATTAAATTCAAAAGCAATTATCTAAAAACTACTGCGTATCTCGTGCGATGCACGGGTATATAAATTTGAAAAATATTATAATTTGACATGCATTGGGATATATGAGAGTTTAATACATACGAACATTATTCATCATAAAATGTTCGTCATTAAAAATTGTTATATTATTAAAAACCTCTTTGTACACAACATTATGAGTTTGATTATTGGGTAACTCGTTGTGAGGAGCTCAGGCCGGACGTGGGCCTCAATCAACTGGGCTTCCTTGGCTTCTCTCATGGACTGCGGATGCTGATTGTTGTTGCCGAAAAAATTGCCCCCAAGCTTGGACAACTTTTCTAATTTTCAACTATATTATACATTATATTTTATTTCAACTTTAACCTTTTCATCCTATTTTATGCAGGTAGTTATTTTACATTCTCAGTTATACTAATAAAGTATATTTTTAGTTTGAATCATGTAACTTCCTTAATAGTGAGTTGAATAATTTATAGATAGAAACATACAAATTACATACTTTTTCATATTCCATATTTCATTCTCCACATAAAACAAAAAAATTAAATACAATAATTATTAGGTTGACCATCCAATAAATCAAAATAAGACTGTACATAAACATAAACTTTTCTTTAATAATTTCTATTTTTTTAAATAATAATTGTAATGTTTCAGGTACGACACAAAATTGGTTTATTTGTTTTTTTTATTAATTGTTTATGAATAGACCACCTATTTTAATTTTTTGTTCAAAGTTGGTTTATTTTTTATTTAAATCATAAGATATATCATGTTAGTCATCATTGGCCATAAGCTCATAGGATGTGATGATAAATATGCATTTAGATCTTAACATATGCAATATAAATGTAAAAAATACAAAGAATATACTAACGCTAAATTTAGTTTATTGGACAGGTGCACATCAATTAGAAAAATGTGATTTTCTTGATTAAATTTTCAGGATAAATGCATTGCCAATCACAAATTTACGCAAGCAAAGAGTTCGCTCTAATATATCATTCGAGATTTTAGTGTCGATAATTTGCATTGTTTCAGCTTCACATTCATCTTATTGGTATGGAAGAGAAGACAATTTCAATAACCTGTACTTATACGGAGATTTGCTGCATATGTGTAATAAAATATCACCAACATTACAAAATTGATATTTGAAAAACCTGAAGACATATGGAAAACAACAATAATATGACAACATATGTGTACGCCCGGGCTTCCTCGCGCTGGGCTTCTCTTCTGGGCTACTTCCACGCTCGGAAGCGAGCTGAGGACGGGCGCACACCTGGTGGCTTGAACTCGGTTGATCTGCGATTGGGTGTTGGAGCAGAGGCTGAGAACAGTGGCGCCGGTGGCCGTTTTGACGATGTTCAACTCCTCGGCAATCGAGATTCAAAACTCGACATAATTTACAAAAAATATAATTTTTTAGAGGCTCAGGAATTTACCAAAAAAAAGGGAGTTGGCAATGAAACAACAACTCAGTTCACGACTAACGCTGGATTTACAAAATAAGTTCAGCGCCCGTAAATTCAAACGACGAACTCGACATGATAAAAAACCTCAGATTTTCAATTCGGCTTGAAACAGAAAATAAAGGCTCGAGTATGTGATAAGAATTCATAATATTATTGTTTCTAAGTGATAAGAATGTCAAAATTTTGTTACATTTTTTGGGCAAAAATCTAAGCGTATATATTCCATATTTACTACCAAATCTTTTTACCAAAAAAATCTGATACAAATTATTGTAGAAAAAAATTTAGTACAATTTTAACTAAAACCGGGTATGTGTATGTGGTTAGATGGTTATATTATCATTTGTTTTCAAAATATTTCTTTTTTTAATAAGTCAAAATCGGTATGCATATGTGGTGCTATCATATGGATCGGCTTTGATTTTATTAGGAGAAGTTCTTTGTACACATATTCTATTTACGGTCAACAACTTGACTTAATTTGATTAAAAAAATGGAAGCAATAATAAATTAAGAAGGCTTACAGGCTATATGTAGAATAACAAAATATGTGCAAGTTTGAACCATTAACAATCTATATATATATAATTGCTGGCAGATGCATTTAATAAAACATTTAATAAAACCTTCATAATTTTTCCGCTCATTTTTCAATTAATGTAGAAACGTTACATTTTACATTAATAAAGTGTAATAACAATTTTAAATTAATTTATTATATAATATTACTATTAACACTAACTGATTATAATTTTACATTAAATAGATGTGGAAGTTACATACTTTTAAAAAATTGTATTGCAACTTTTTTCTTTAAAATATTTATAAAATAAAATTATTATTTTCTTTTACCTAATATTAATTAATTGGCACGAGTGTCATAATTAAACACCTTAAAATCATTTAGACAATTGTTATAACAATGATAAAAATATTTGTAATACTTTTCTAACTAATTAAATGTATGATCCCTCTAGACTACTAAATTATATTGTCCATTAAAATTTATGGCATCGATATAAATATTCATACGTAAGTTAAGTAATTTATATTTACATTAACATTTTCATATAGTCAAAATTTAAAATGTAATACATCAATTATCTAATATAAAATTTTATATATTGTATGCATACATATAATATATAATTTTTACTTTTTTTTTGGTGCATGTGCACAGGATGAATACTAGTGTTAATAACAAAAGGGGAAAAAAAGTAGAATAATTCAATAATCACAGTATATATTGCTAATTTTCAAAAGATTGCATATAAATCAACTTATATATGTATATATGCTAACATTTGACCAATATCAAACTAAAATTTGGCATGAAAATCAAACAAATCATTAATTCTTGCATATTATTAAATTTTTTTAAATGAATATTAGACATATTAAAATAAATAATGACAATAAAATAGAAATAAATAAATAAATACTTTCAACTATTATCACATTAAATTATAGTGAAAAATAGATAAGAAAACCGACATTCTAATCCAAATTAGAAATGTATATCCTATTTGATCATAGACAATTTTCTTGGGCAAGACATAAAAAATTAACTGATGATACCAAAAAAAAAAAAAAAATGATTTGAGACCCTTAATACACGAGGCCTAACAAACATTTTCATATGGCCCAATAGTTGAGCATCTCCTTGACCCAACAACCACTTTAAGCTACCCAACAACAGAACAGGCCCAACTGTCAACTTATGGCCCAACCCAGACAGAGAGCATTGTTATCTTACTCACGCTCGACACAAAATCTGGCGGCGGAGGGCCTTAGCTGTGGGCAGCACCGATGAACTCTTACCCGTAGACGGCGAACGATATGAGGACGGCGTGGGAATCGATCCCCAGGATAGTACAACAATTTATTTTCCTCGACCCTTCCATTAATCGTGCTATGGCGGGAGGCTCCGACAGCGGCCCTGCTTTAGGCGATTCCGCCATGCCCAGAATTGGCGGCGATGGCGACTCTTGTCCTCCACCTTGCTCTTCATGTCTCGGTGGTAGGAGGCTTGTGTAGCGGGTCGGCTGGGGACGACTCGGCCGTGCCCAAAATTTGACAACAGTACAATTGTTCCCCTCGACCAAGTGTAGAGGTGGTGAATTGTAGGTTGCTTCCAGAGTATATCACACATAATGGAGTTGCTTTAAATTGATTTGAAAATACTTTTTGCTAAATAATAGGAGACTTTATGTTGAGATGGTGAATTGTAGGTTGCTTTCAGAGTATATCGCACATAGTGGAGTTGCTTTAAATTGATTTGAATATACTTTTTGCTAGGAGATTTAGTTGTTGTATACTATCTAAAAACGAGAAATGCTCACCTACTCACTGTGGGCACATGTTAATATGCCCACCGCGTAGGTGGCATGCACTCATTGGTGATGTTAATATGTTTAAAAAAATACATCACCAATGATTGCATGCCACCTACGCGGTGGGCATATTAACATGTGCCCACCGTGGGTAGGGGAACATTTCTAATCTAAAAACTATCTTATCGCAGATTTGAAAAAAATTACGCGAGCCGCGATATTTGAGCAAACAATATAACAACTGATCAGGTTGCATTTTTTTTTAATGATGTCGTGAAATTTTTTTGTTTTTAAAAAAAGTTGTCATTAAAGGAAAGCATTAAATGCTGACTGAATATTGACTAAAATTGACTTGCTATTCTTAAAAAATGGTAAACCAAGCCTTATAGTTTAAAGGAAAGCATTAAATGCAGATTGAAAGCATTAAATCTGTTTATATATATACATATATAGATTAACCAAGCCTTATAGTCAAAAGCAATTATCTAAAAATTAACCAACAACATCACGTCTAAGATGAAAACCGAACATCTATTTTTTTTTTTTTTTTTTTGGTTATTATTTTTTGTTTTTAATTTGTCACTGACAATCGCGACTATTTCATTCAAACGGATCAACGCCGTCCCACCGTAGGCCATTATTAAAACCTCCCATTTCATCCCATTCTTCTTCCGATAGTCCAATCGGAACTGAAATTTACCAGTGTCATCTCTCAGCGTTCGAATTCTCCAACTAAACCCCAGTAGGCTAACTTCTCAGTCCCCAGCTTCTCTCGGCGCGTCAATTGAGTTGCCCATCAGACATTGCAAGATTCCAAGAAAAAATGGGGGACGTAGCGGAGAAGTTGGCGTCCTTTCAAGCCGTCACGGGCATCAACGACGCCGATTTGTGTACGGAAATTCTCTCCGCCCACAGTTGGGACCTCGATTCGGCCATCTCATCTATCACATCCACCGTCGCCACCGGTCCCTCCGCCGCCGCAGCCGCCGGCCGGGCAAATCAAGAACCCGAAGACGTTGGCCTTGTCCTAGTCCCTACAGGCAACAACAATCAATCCCCGGGTCTTGTTTGGAAAATAATCACACTCCCTTTCTCCATCATCTCCACCAGCCTAGGTTTAGTTTCCGGCGCGATCGGGTTCGGCGTGTGGGCTGCGAGCGGCGTCCTGTCGTATTCGTTTGGCATGATGGGGCTGAACGGCTCCTCGCGGGCTGGGTCGATGCCTCTGATGTCGGTGTCACAGTCGGCCTCGGAAGCCATGGATTTCGTTTCGGGTTTCGAGAGGGACTATGGAAGGGTTAGACCGAATTTCGTGGCCGAGGGTTTCATGGATGCCTTGCAGAGGTCCCGACGCGAGTACAAGCTGCTGTTTGTTTACTTGCACTCACCCGAACATGCTGATACTCCTCTCTTCTGTGAGGGGACTCTGTGCAATGAGATGCTGTCGGCGTTCTTGAACGAGAATTTTGTGGTGCGGGAGGTAATGTGAAGGCCAGTGAAGGGTTCAAGATGAGTAATAGTCTAAATGCTTCCAGGTTCCCGTTCTGTGCAGTTGTTATGGCGGCGACCAACCAGAGGATCACATTGCTGCAGCAGGTGAAATGCTGAAGTATATTTATGGTTTCTCTTGTTATACCTTTCTCGATTTTAACTCCTTGTTTGGTGTACTGCTATAAGTGAAACTTTAGTTGTTCAAGATTTTTAGATATTAAGATTTTCCATATTGGATAAACGTCCACATTATGTTTCTGGGCTACAGAGTTGGCGAAAACATGTTTATCTTGAGCAGCTGCAATTTTTTATTGTGCTTATGTGATTCCACAAGATGGGTTGAAAAATGTTCAGATATATTTTTATGGGTGTGAGATGTAAGATTGTTATAGTGGTGGTTTCTGCTTTCTCGTATTGTTTCCCATCTTTCTTTGATAGTAACGCATCCAAATTTGGTATCCTATTGAAGATAGATAAGAGGTTGGATTGAGGGGAATTTTTTTTTCTTCCCGGTGAGGGACTCTTTTCAGTTTCAATCCTCTATTATGGGCACTGCTAATTTTTTTCGTTGCTGATCCTAGTTCAGCGGGCAAACTGACACATTTGTTTGGCAAGACTTCCTTCAGGTGGTAAACTATTGTTAAGTATTTGCTTAACTGTAAGCTTATATTATCCTGATAGTGATATGATGGTCCAGAGCAAATGTTATTGTTTCGTGACAATAAAGTATACGTAAAATCTAGTACTTAGTTTGGTATCATGTTGTCTGTCACGTGTTCTTTTCACTGTTCGCATTTGCACTTCTTCATACTACTATATTCTTGTGGTGTACTTGGATAATTTTTCTTGAGGGAGGAACTATTCTTGATCATTTTATACTTTCTGCCTTATGTTTTTTAAGTATGGGAAAGCTGTGAGTTCTTTTGTTTTATTTTAATCAATTCGTGCATAAATCTTATTTTTGTTGTTTCTCTTTTTTATGTCATAACAAAAGTTGGGCTATATTCTAGTGTTTTTGTAATCATACTATGTTGATTTTCTTGCAGGTCGAGGGACCAAAATCTCCTGAAGAATTGTTGTCAATATTGCAGAGAGTGCTCGAGGAAAGTGCTCCTGTTCTTGTTTCAGCAAGGGTTGAAGCCGAAGAGAGAAGGAACAATATGCGGCTGAGGGAGGAGCGGGATGCTGCCTATCAAGCAGCACTCGAGGCTGATCGAGTATGCAATTTTGATAATATTTTCTGATTTAAAATTACACTTAGTTAATTTATTATTCTTAATTCGTCCTATTGTTGGTAAACAGGCTAGGGAGTGGCAGAGAAAGGAGGAACAAGAAAGATTGGAGCGTGAAGCTGCTGACGCCGAAAGGAAAAGGAAGGAAGAGGAAGAGATTCGTGAACGTGCTGCAAGAGAGACTGCTGAGAGAGAAGCTGCATTGACTAAGATGCGTGAGGAGAAAGCACAGTCACTCGGTGCTGAGCCTGAGAAAGGGCCTGATGTTACTCAAGTAAGTTTCAGATTAATTAATTTTTGTTGGGTATTAGTGATATCGAATTCTGAAGTTACTTTTCCACTACCCAATGTGTTAACTTGTTATTTTGGTAAGATGAATTGAGGGTTTTATATGTATATGATTTTAATTACGACAATAGATGAGATATTGGTTGCGTGCATTCTGTCTGTGTTTTTGGCTAGGGTGTAAATGAGAAGATTGTGTAGACACATCTCTCACTTGTTGAGTTTTTTTTTCGTTTTATTCTTACGATAATTTGTCGCTAGGCATTTCATAGAGTTCTGTGGGTCGGTGTGTATTGGTTTTCTTAGTAAACTATGCATGAATACAAGAGTTCTTTGTTTGATGTGTTAATAGTAGTACCTTGTTAAATGTTTTAGTAGGGCATCATCTTCATTGTTCATCCGTTTAGATCAATCTGGTGGGATATGGGGCTCTTAACATTATCATTTCTTCAACTAACTAATATGTATATTTAATATGTATATTTAATAGATGTCAGAACTATTGGTAGATTCAGAATAGTTAGTTTGAACAAGAATGTTTCGTCTTGCTAAAGGTTTTCAGAAGATTCGTAAAGACCCTTTTTGATCTAGATTAGAATCTTTCAAGTTTAAAGCCCTCTCCATATTCCATCCTCTTTCAGAAACCACACATTCGGACACCTAAAATTTGAAATAAAGAAAATGTTGTGTGCTACCTCAGATAGACTTGCCTTTTGCTACTATGTATATTGTTAACGATTGAGGATTCGATCTTATGGCATTTTCAGGTATTGGTTCGTTTCCCATCTGGATTGCGCAAGGAAAGAAGGTTTCACTTTACGGCAAAGATACAATCTCTGTACGACTATGTGGACTCATTAGGCTGCTTGGATGTTAATGGCTACAGCCTCATATCCAACTTTCCCCGCACTGTGTATGGTGAAGACAAGCTCTCGTTGTCCCTCAAGAAAGCTGGATTACATCCTCATGCCAGCCTCTTTGTGGAGTTGAGCTAGCAAGCCGTGCTAAGAGGTGCTCGAGAATGAAAATTGTAGCAGGGAATTTCTTTTATCGACTTTTGGCTTTTGTTACGAAAACAAATGTATTGATAGTATCTTTTAGCAGGGAATTTCTTATATTGCGGCCTGCGGGTATTGACATCTTTACCAAGTCTTAACGGGCAAATATGATAGCGGGGTATATAGGTTTTACTTCCAATGATTTGTGTTCTTTAATGAATTGTGAATGTGATGGCATATTGTCTCAGGCTTATTGTTTCGTAATTTTACTATAAATCCAACAGTTGTAGAGTTAACCTTATAAATACAACAAGCAAATCATATCATTTTCTTTTATTATTTAAAACAATATTAATAATTTTATTAATATGATGATTTACTTGTATATATAAAATTGACTCTACTATGGAGCCAATGTATTATTTAAAACAATATTAATAATTTTATTAATATGATGATTTACTTGTATATATAAAATTGACTCTACTATGGAGCCAATGTAGACTCTGTAGCAAAATTGATTTCACATATACCGGTCATTAATTGTGTCCGAAGACTAGATTGAAAAAGGTGGTGCTCGGTAAATGTGTTGCATGATTATAAGACTAGCCTGAAAAATGTAATACTTATAGCCATATGTATATAATTCTTTTTGCATTCATATGTATACATTTATAGTGAAATTATTCTTTCGAAATCAATCAATCAATTAATCAACAAGCCGTCAAAATCCCAATTAGTGGGATCGCATATCGCTGTCGTGCTCGATCAAAACACATGTACTCTTCAAATTTAAATATTTCACACTGTAATTTTACATATTTATTATACATATTTATTCAAAAAGTATAACAAGCCACCTAAAGTGTAGATTTGAAATATGGTAATTGGTGATATATTTGGACCATCACTAGATGACTTTCACAAGTGCTAATAATATAAAACTCATGTTCCCAAAGGGCAAAGGCAAGTAGCTATTCAAATCTACACCTAACTCTATTATAGCCATTGGCCAGTGTAGATATAGTTGATGCTGTGTATGAGAGAAATATCTCGACAACACATCTATATATCATCTATGTAATCTATGTAATTTTGTTAGCAATGACTCAATTCTCAATTCTGCTAGTATACATTTATATACATGTACTCTTATATGATGATAAACAAATATGTTCTGAAACTGCAAAAGTAGTTAGACCATATCTGAAGCATCATCTTGTCCTCGAGCTACTTGGGATCCTGCTCTAAATTTGCAAACCGGGCACGTACCTTGCTGCCGAAGCCATGGATCTATGCAATTCACATGAAACTGAAAGAGAAATTATGAGATGGTGCCCAGCTATAAGCGAAATAGGATTAGGTGGATAATTACATGTAGAGCAATCCAAAAAAAAATGCACGCGGGCACAATTAAAGAAACTACAAAAAGTGAATACTTATGGCCCCCTAATTTTGGTATCTTCAGGACTAGTCTTGGACGTGAAGGTTAGTAGTGATCTAAAATATAGAATGATTTTTAGTAAGGTACTGAAAGCCAACCTGATGCAAGCATGGGAGGCTACGAATGAGTTCTCCAGCATTAACTTGCTCCAAGCAAACACTACAAGTCAGTTCATCATCAGATGTTTTCAATCCGGATTGTGCATTTGCAAGGTCTTGCTTCTTCTACAATTAAAAGAACTTAATTAATAATAATTGTAACTAAATACGTAAAATTAAAAGGTAAGTATAATATAAATCTTAGGCTCAAAGGACGTAAAAATGTAGCAAAAGGTGCTGCTATTATCACAAACACAGGTTTAGATTTACAGTAACCCTAATATTTGGTAAGAAATTATTCGGATTTATTTCAATTAGATGGATTGACTATGGCCGATGATTTCCAAATGGAGAGGCAAAACAAGAGTGGTTATTAAACAAACAATGTACACCACCTCTCACTCAACAAAACTGTTATCTTAAAACCTAGTTCACCTACATGGGCACGCAGAAGCCTCTAATATTTTACTGATGCAACAAATTTCAGGAAAAATGGATCATATGAGTGAGGATATGTCACTCAGAAAGTTTGAAGGCCCATTAGAGGATTTTGGTAAAAGTGACCTCATAGCACGCATCATCCTCTTGAAGCATCAAACTCATCCAAGTAATTAAGTGAAGAGTCATAGAAGATGATTTTGTATCATTGATATAACAATTGCAACTACAACAAAACATACAAATTCAAAAGTGGATATCAAATTTAAAGCTCAGAAAATATGCCATTTGCAGCAATATACCTCTTGTGCCCATCTCAATACTAAAGAGCACAGGTAAACATAAAATAATAACAATAATTTAATTAGAAAACAGAAAATCAACGTTACTGAATGAAACTGTCAAGATTTAACACTATAAGAAAGACAACAGTACCTCAGCCGATGTTGAAGAAGAAGCCTGCTGCACTGATGAGCTGCCGCTGCCCGAGAGAAACACCAAGAACATTTTTTTAAGAGTAACTTTTAAAAATGTCCAGATTTGTTTCCCAAATCAAACTGCAGCTAAAAGTGGCAAATCTGATATGTTTCACTCTCACAAAACATATAGGTTAACTCATTATCTCACAAACATGTTTCTCGTTTTCAAAGTACTAGAACAATGCCGTGAAATAAATTACTTTAATTGGATGGACACTAAAAACTTCTGTCGGAAAAAAAATAAAAAAAGGGAAAATGAATTAGTCTTGGTAAGAAACTGCAGTAATGTATCAGAATTTTCCAATTAGCAGTAACCTTTGAGGGCCGGACAACTTATACTTGTGAACGGGAAGAGCGTTGATCTCTTCGTCAGTCATGGAGGCAGTAGGAATATTGTCGGCATCCAGTGCACGTAAAGTTTCGTAATCTGACCGCATCAATAAAATAAACAATTGTGACAAAACATCCCAATTAAATTTCACCCTTTCGGAGTCAGAATATCACTTGATAAACACAGATCGACTACACGTTAAAAGTAGCATCATGGGGAATTATTGGGATAATGAAGTGTACACACCTAGGTCATCAAATTCCCTGTCAAGAAGTGCAAGCTGGAGCCTTAGACCTTGTAACCTTCCTCTGGTTGCAAGTGCAATAGATGGCGGCATGTGAAGTCGCAGTTCGGTGTGGCCAAGGAGGCCACTGGCTGCAATAGCATGTGCTTGAGCCTGAGCTTGAAGTTGCTGGCAAGTTGCATACATCCTCAAAGTTGTTGCCATAAAAAACACACCAAGCACTAACCAGAGCTTCACAGCGTTGGGGGAAAGGCGAAAAATAAAAGTTAAGTAGATCATTGAAAATATGCTACCAGCTACATTAAATGAATAGTGATATAAATAATTCAATTGAGCCAAGAAAAAAGAAAGACAAACCAGGAAATTAGGAGACATCTGATGCGAGTTTAAAATCATGAACAGCAAAAGTACTGTCAAATAATACGACCAATTACAAATTACGTAAATAAAGCAATTAACAGGCTGACCATAAGAACATTATGGGAGCATATGAGTAACATGACCATACAAAATAAAGATACCTGTTACAAGAAAAGCAAGGGAGTTCGTACTGACTGATCGAGCAGGATGTACACGCTGATAAGCAGCAAATCCATAGAACTCATAAGTCAGAGAATTAAGAATAATTACAAAACTACCCCCAAGTTTTAGTCTAATTGAAAAAAGAAAATAAAAAGAACAATCCAGATATTCTTTTGAATTTACAGTTGTCTTCTAGAGATGTAACACAGTCCCTTGAGGTTTATATTCTTGTTGATGAAGTAATTTGTAATATTCTTGTTGATGAAGTAATTTGTAATACAATGTCCAGAGTACTTTAAATTTTAAGGATATATTTTCTTCTACTTTTTCCCTATCTCCCAATATTTGATTGAAGACCCTGGGGCAATTTTTGTATTTAATTATATAAATTAACAAAGGACTGGAAATTCACCACTGCACGCCGTTCTGGTACAAGCCCTGGAAATCCAGTTTCTATGTCTCCTCTTGTGCCTCGGAAGACAAAACTCATAGTTCCACAAACTGCAAGCAATGATACTGAGAAGTGAGAAAGCTGTCTTGGACAATATGCACTCGTAACAACCTTATCCCAACCAAAGAACTCCAGCAAACATAAATCCTGAGAAGACCTCAAAATAGTCAGTTAACAGCCATTATGTTAATCCTACTAAGTATTGAAAAGAAAAATAGAAGATATGCCTCCAGAACTATAAACCTACCTCTTCACAAACGGCAGTCACATAGATATTCGAATTTTTTCAGCTTAGCCATAGATCCCTTAACAAATATTAAGCAGCTACGAAGTTAAGAGAACTCTGATATTACTTGGTCTCAGCCAAACAAAAAGGCACTTACAATAACCATTCTAAACTGGGAACCTATTTTCTTGTTCAAAATTACAAATTCTGTTTTCTGTTTGTGTTTTCTACTAGACTGTGTCAGTTGTCTAGAAGCATATGCCATTCGGTACATTGCTCGACAACGAATACATTATTCGACTCTTCACATCATATGTATCAAGAATAAACGTGGTGACACTTCGTGAAAACAACCATTGGTTTCGCCATTTGTGAAGATTTTCGTATCCACTAATACTTGCATCTGAAAACAGATAGATTTACAGGGAAAAACAGTTATCCAAACTTGGGTGTTCTACCAAATAATCAATTCCGGCAACAAATGCAACCAAAAATCTCCAAAGTGGAACAAGTCGCTAATCCCACCACAGAATTTCAGCTTTATGATATAAGATAAGAATCTAGAGCATCGAAAAACAGCTTACCCTTAAAATCAGACAAGAACACCACCACTCCCGTCACAGAACACCAACACAGATTCTGCAGTATGGATCCGAATACGAATAATCAATTTAGAGGAAAAGAAAAGTATTTTGCAACGAAAAATTGGTCGATCTGCACTGAATTGAATGCGTTTGAGAGAGAAGAAGAAGAAATGATGATGATGATGATGATGATGAAGATGACGATGAGTCGACTCGGACGCGTTAGAGCTTATTTTAAATTTTAGTGTAAAATTAATAAAGCTCCAACCGGATACAGTATCGTGTAAAATTAATAAAGCTCCAACCGGAAACGACATCGTATGGCTCCTGTCCCTTTATTTCGAGTTTTGAATATTAATATTAAACTAGTAGATATCCTGTGCACATGCACAGATGTACATAATATATTAGTACGTAATATTTGAGAATTTAATATTAAAATTATAGATAATGGACATATTACATTTTCAAAAATTTTGATCATTAAGAAAAATAAATTAACAGTTTAATTATTATTATTATTATTATTATTATTATTATTATTAACAAAAAATTATTTATAAGTTTCAAAAATTGTTTGATTATGCTATTAAAACAATTTACTAATTGTTTTTAAAGAAATTTTTTCATGAGATACAAAATAAAAAGATAGTATTGATGTTAATATAAATAACTTGAAACAATTGTTTATAATTATGTAATTTATATTTATTGTGAATTATTATTAGTTAGTATTAGTAATCACTATTATATAATATAATAGAAAAATACATGAATACACTTAATATGATGTGTTAATGTGAGAAGTAAAAAAAAAATTAATGATAAATTTTGTAACTGAAAACAGAGGAAAAATTTTAGAGGTTTTATTAAATAGGTAAAATTAAATTCTAAGCTAGCAATTATATATATATATATATATATATATATATTATTAAAAATAATTATTTATAAGATTCTAAAGTTGTTTAACTATGCTATTAAAGCAATTTACTAATTGTTTTTAAAGAATTTTTTTCATGTAATACAAAAGAAAAAGATAATATTGATGTTAAAATACATAACTTGAAACAATTGTTTATAATTATGTAATTTATAATTTATTGTGAATTATTATTAGTTGGTATTAGCAATAACTATTATATAATATAATAAAAACACACATTATTACACTCATTAAGATGTATTAATGTGAGAAGTAAAAAATATTAATGACAAATTTTGTAACCGAAAATGGAGGGAAAATTTTAGAAGTTTTATTAAATAGGTTTTATTAAATGCTACATGCTAGTAATTATATATATATAGATTGTTTTATTTTATTCTATTTATGATATATAATAATTTAATATATAATTTATATATTTATTTCCCTCGTCGTAAAATAGTTTGACATCTTATATTTCTTGTTTATAGTTAAGGATAATAAAACTTAATATATATTACTCATAAAATATCTCTTTCCTCTCACGTACATTATTACGATATATTATGTCGAAATCTAAATAAATAATGCTAACGTTGAAATTTGCGAGTAAAATGTTATAACCAACAATTAATTGCAAGAGATTGTAATATATTATTTTGAAGTAAAAAAATATTAATTATTTATTACGTCAATATTATTTTATTTTTTATAACTGATACTGTATATTATTTTTTATTACGTCAATATTATTTTTTGAATTTATTAATTTATATGAAATTTTTGGAAGACAATCACTTTAATTGGATACTCAACCAACGAGTTCCTCATTTAGAAACATGATATGATTAAACATAGGAAAATGACAATTGAGGGTGTATTCTTTTGAGGAAAAAAAAAAGTAATGATAATAATTTATTTTTTTGAGATTTGAGATTTTATAATTTGAAGATTTAAGAGAATTCTTGAAAAACTTGAGTTTGGAGGTGGGATTTTTGTTTACTAAATCTCAGCAAATTTTAAAAAGTTTTAGTGAACCTAAATGTCACGCGTGCGTGCCACATACACAGTAGGCATATTAACATGTGTCCACCGTGAGTAGGTGAGTCTAAAAAGTCTAAACTTTCGAAATCGCAAATGAAAAGTCTAAAAAGTCTAAATTTTATACACCGCGATTCTGAAAGTCCCAACAAATCTTTAAAAATCACAAATGAATACATCCTAAGAAGGCTTGTTGGCCTTTTCTCCCCAAAGCCCTTAGAGTTGGTCCAGTTTTGATTATGATATTGGTGATTTTGCACTCAAGCTGTTCTTTCATTTCAATGCAAGTTCTATTCCACAATTTGGAAGTTCAACAGATTTTTTTCCTAAACCAGAGTGCATATATCAATCTTTTCCTGAATCCATTTTAGCATTCATTTTGCTTCAGTATAAGAAAGCAATATAGCTTAGGGTTATATGGCCTAAGAGACCATATACCCCTATATGACCATCGCCACTACGTACCCAGTGCATAATCTACCCCTGACACGAAGCACAGATGCTCTCTGAAGACGGGTTTTCGGGACGTGACAAATTTGGTTGTGTCACGTCCGGTATTATGTGCAAGTAGAAAACCCACCAAATGGTCAAAACTTTGGGGAACATCACTGCAAGAATTACGATAAATGTAGCTCAGGAGCTAAGATTACTGAAGATGAAGGCAGAAAGGTCTCTCGACTTGAGGAAATTTCATAGTTCAAACACATTAGCAATTCGATGAGCAGTCTACAGAAACTGAGAAATAACATATTCAGGCTTGCAACGGCAGAACAAAGATTTTTGAATCAACATTTCAGTGCAAGGATTATAGGTAAGCATTAAAACTAGAAAGTAAGAGAATGCAAAAGTAACTAGTATCAGGTTGAAAACAAGGAATTGCTGGATTTTTCATCTGAAAGGGAAATTTATATTAGTCAGAGTCCGCGCTACTATTTGAAGGTGGAATTTAACCAAGGAATAGCTTCAGTTCCAAAGTGCAACATTACATACATTTCTTGTGCGCAATACAATTAGAGTATAATGCTAATGGCGGGTAGTTTCACCCTGCCAGTAATAAAAGCAAGAAAAGGTGCATTTCAATGTTTCAACAAGAAAAGCCACGATAATGTCGAAATGCTAGCTAGATTTCAAACAGAGATCGCAACTCTTAAAGAATGAACAGTTCATACAAAATACCAATCTCATTGAAGTGGGCGTTAACAAGTCAGCTCACAATCCAATTCAATCCAAGTAACACATTTGCCAAATGATAACAACCTGAACTGAACCACATATATTCCATAAAAAATCTAACTCATTAAGCTGTGCATTACAAAATCAGGACTTACCAAAGTATAACAACACTTACTACACATTGCACAATGCGACAGACAAGGTAAAAAACAAAAAGGGAATCTTGAATCCAAAAACCCGATTTTAAACTATGATGGGTGTACCTTCCATCACCAGTTCCAGAAGCAAGTTCATGCATTAAAACAATATATGTTGATTGTTGCTTCATCTCCTTGCCCACTATATCCCCAGCCATAACCTCCATTTAGATTCTTAACGATATAAAATCAGAGTAATCATATAATAAAAGAGCAACCATCATACCGTTCCCCAACTTAACCAACAAATTTTGTTTCTCTTCCACCAGCCATCACTACATCGAAAATGCCCACCTAAACTTTTCTTCCCATTAATAATCACCATCCCCTATCATTATTCCCATCATTCACCTCAAAATCCCAACCTCCATGTCTTCTCAATGTAGACCCACCAAAAAAAGACCCGCTCCTTCTGCTTGTTCTTGAATTCAAGCTCGTGGTAGAAGCCGACGATCCACCACCCCTCCCAAAACACGCAAACAGACTATGCAACATCCTCCTCAGCCCGCCACTCTCCCTGGACACACTTCCACTCGAGCCCCACGAGATCCTCCTTGGCACCCCATTGTTCGGAAAACCGCCATCCACTTCCGTGTACACGACTGGAAGCTCCCTCTCCACACCCCTCCTCCCACCGGAAAATCTCCCCACTGCAAAACCACCACCCGGCAGCCTCCATATAGTCAACCCAACCGTCTCGTCGTCATTCTCTACCTCATTCGATCCTCCTCTGCTGGCCTCGAGCGTGCCCCGGCTAGCATTGATGGTATCCATATCAGTGGGCAGTTCGTGTCTGCACACGGGACACGAATTCGTGAGAGCAAGCCATGGCAGGATACAGTCCTGATGGTAGAGATGCTTGCAGGGCATCTCGCGGGCATCGGTGCCCAGCTCGAAAGGCTCCTTGCAGACGGCGCAGTGAGACTCAACCGATATGTGTCCGTCGATTATTTGGACGGTGGGCATTGACTCGACGGCGGCCTTGGACGCGGGCGGGTTGTTATCGACTCTCCCAATCCCGTTGGCTTCGATCTGAGACAGCTGATCCAGCAACCTATCAAACCCCGACCCTAACAAAAACTCCGACATACTTGCCGGTAAGGGGCGCAGGCCAGACCCGGATCCGTCGTCGTAATACAATTCAAACCTTCCCCCCTGGGGTGTCCCACCTCCACCGCCGCCGCCGTCGGGGCCACGTAGAACGATAACCGGATTAAACGGCGACCGATCTCCTCCGTTCCTGCGGCCCCTTCTCAGCCTGGGGCTGGCGACCGCGACGGATCCCGATCCCGATCCCGATCCTGACCCGGGGCCCGATTCGGGGGTTCGGGGCATGTACATGTCGGCGGCGGGGAAACGGCGGCGTCTGGAGTCGGAGAGGGGAGAAGATCTGTCGGGATCCTCGATCTCCTCAACGAATCCGCCGTCACAGTCGGGGCAATTGACGCAGTCTTTGTTCAGAATGCGCACGAACTGGTTGCAGCCGTAGCACCAGTGGGTCGGAGATGAAGACATGGACGTCTCGCAAGAAGGTTTTTTAGATCGGAAAACAAAAAAATGATGATCGGGAAATGAATCTTTGACCAAGAAAAGCTCGGCCGGAGATTGGTGGTGATGGAAATGTGGGGATGATTGGGGGTTACAATTGCAAAGGAGGGGGGGTAACTTTTGGTAATAAAGTTGCTACGAAGGGGTAAATATGGAATATCGCCTGATTGGGGGACACGTGTTGAGCCAGTGGATAAATGTTGAGTTTCTCGGTTTTGCTCATGTTTTGGATCTAATTTATTTTGATTATTATATTACTCGTTAATAAATTAAGTAGAAAAATTAAATGAATAAACGATCATTGGTCATTTCCATACCATATTTTGAAGTGTAAATAAAAATGGAAATGCTATTTGTACAATAGGGTTTCTACAATGACTTTGACAATTCCAAGTCAATTACCTTTTTATCCTTATTTGACAAGAATATAAAATGAATTATAATCTCACGGATATAAAACGGGATATGGAAATCCTGAAAAAACAGATAGAAGAATTATTTAAATCTGTTCAACAGCAGTCTAAAGATTCTAAACAAGATTTAGAACCTATACCAGCTAAAATAATCAATGACATTAAACAAGAAATTGCTGAATGTCCTTGTAAAAAAGAAAATAAAAAACAGAAAGAAATTTCTAGCCAAGCAAATAATATACCTTTTCTAAAATATTCATATCCTAATGACTCAGTAGGAAATGAAGAATTAGGGAGTTCAGGAAATCCTAACGCTTTTAAATGGCCAAAAGATGCTTTGAAAAAATGAATCTTCAAGAAAAACTTGAGAAAAATCTTTGGAACCTAATTAATTTAGATTTGGAT